GGTGGCAAAGGGGGGGGGGGTCGTCGGAAATTTGAACGTTTTGTCGGAAATTTAGGAGGCTTTGCCCCCCCCCCAACCGGAAAAAGTGAATTTCCACCACTGAATGCTAGGCCTATAAAGTTTAATTCTATAATGCTATAATAATAATACAGTTTAGCAGATAATCTAAGTATATATTTTGCTAAAGTAGATAATCTGCATAATGTTTGATGTGTGCACAACGGGCAAGCTGCAAAGTTTGTTTGACCGCGGTGGGAATCGAACCCTCGACGTATCTATACCTGAATACACAACACCAGAAACAAGTAATCTGCATAGTGTAACATTAAAAACCTCATCTATTTTCTAGGAAAAATATCAAAGACTAAAAACTTATAAGAAACTTGAAGAGACTGAAGAAATGCTTTGTAAGAGATTGACACTGCCTGCACATGATGCTGGGATCAAGGAAGTACCAACAAAACAACAACTTAACGAAATAGAGGAAAACATTAAATATATGGAAAATCAACTGGTGGGTCTCTAGTATGATATATCTGTTTTGAATGCTACTCTTTTTCTTGAGTAACGAAGTACAAAATTTGTAATTATTAAAAGAGAAGTACAAACGGCCCTGCTGCATGAAGGGAATCCAAAACTACTTGCGGCAGAAAGCAAATTGGGTTACCGCAAAATCAGCTTTGCGCTAAGCTGGGTTTACCAAAACAAAAACTTGTCAGAAGAACTAAGAATATATTATTTTATATGTCCAAATTAATTGTAAAGTAACCGAATTAGCCTTTCCCACGATCCGCCATTTTTGGGTGGTATCTAATTCTCGTTAACCAATGCAGACAATTAAAACAATATGAAAAGCAATTTTTCAAAATAAACTAACCATTTACAAAGCAAGTTTACTATCATTCGTCAAAAAAGTATAAAAAGTCGCTGTTATGTGGACTTATCTCGCAGATTTCGGCTGAAAAGCCACCCAAAAATTGCTGATTTGTCATTTAGTTATCTTTAAGTTCATTTCTCTCACCAAATATCATTCATTTATTTTAAATTGTTGAAGAATACGAATGCTCTCATCAAGACGTTTCACAATTAACCTCGAGTTTGTATATCCGACACAACACGGCCGCTTATGTTGTAAATAGTGTTTGACTTATGTCATGTTGTAGTGTCTGACTCTAGTTGTATTAGATGATACAATCATGAGCTAGTCATTAGATATTGTGGTGAATTAGCCATTTCCCAATCGAGCAGAGGACTGGGTCTAGTCGTTTGTTTGGAGGGACAAAAAATAAACAATATGCCGAATATGGCATCTAGGAAGTTTTCCTACATTCCTAAAGTTATTTGTGCAACCTGAAACGCAACAATTATAATAAGGCATCTTTTAATATATATTTACTATTTAGCTCGCTCACTATAACTTTGTTGTCCCTCCAAACATCCTTGAATCCTTCCAAACAGCAACTAGAGCCAGTCCTCTGCTCGATTGGGAAATGGCTAATTGGTAGACTACATGAGGGTGATCATTATTTCTTAACCAAACAGGCTCAAGGAATAGAACAGTTCAAGACAATACGTCTTTCAATTTTCAACTTATGGGAGGAGCTTGAAAAAGTCCCTGAGACGGAATTTGAGAAGGATATGGCACGTGATGATTCAGAAGCATCCTTTGTATTATCAAAGAACAACCTGAATGCTATGAAAGAACTCAAAGCTAAGGTAAATCCTTCCGTACTTATTTCATTGGCTCGTATACTATAGTACAACTAATTTCATTAATAAATTCCTGGTTAAAACACTTTGGTATATTGTGTGATCATGTTGGATTGGACCGTTCTGAACCAAAGAGCGTAATTCGTGGTTCCGGCCAATAGGGTAACTAAAATGGATGATTCCAGCTATAGACTTGATCTGGTAATGAGATTAACATTGCTCATTCTAGCTGTGGTGATGATGGATTTTGTTCTTCTTGCCTAGATCAAAATTTAGTCTATAGCTGTGGTGATGATGGATTTTGTTCTTCTTGCCTAGATCAAAACTTAGTCTATAGCTGTGGTGATGATGGATTTTGTTCTTCTTGCCTAGATCAAAATTTTAGTCTATAGCTGGAATTGCCTTTTGTTAGGATGACACGGATCTAAAATATCACTGCATGCAAGCTGATGAAGTACATACCATCGAGAGTCGTATTATCTCTGCCATGTGCATCCATGCTTATAGTTATAGTACATTGATTGTAGAGATATGGCTCCATAGAACACTCGATTTTAATAGATGGATTTTGTTCTTCTTGAAGAATTTGGTTTTTCTTGCCTAGATCAAAACTTAGTCTATAGCTGTGGTGATGATGGATTTTGGTCTTCTTGCCTAGATCAAAATTTTAGTCTATAGCTGTGGTGATGATGGATTTTGTTCTTCTTGCCTAGATCAAAACTTAGTCTATAGCTGTGGTGATGATGGATTTTGTTCTTCTTGCCTAGATCAAAACTTAGTCTATAGCTGTGGTGATGATGGATTTTGTTCTTCTTGCCTAGATCAAAATTTAGTCTATAGCTGTGGTGATGATGGATTTTGGTCTTTAGATCAAAATTTTAGTCTATAGCTGGAATTGCCTTTTGTTAGGATGACACGGATCTAAAATATCACTGCATGCAAGCTGATGAAATACATACCATCGAGAGTCGTATTATCTCTGCCATGTGCATCCATGCTTAGTTATAGTACATTGATTGTAGAGATATGGCTCCATAGAACACTCGATTTTAATACAGTAGATCACATCATTTGTTAAATGTTCGTACTTTAAGGAGGGGCGTTTATTAGAGAGGGGCGCTTATACGCTTGTTAAGGTGGCTCCCTACAGTTAGTACAGTTTAAATACAATATATAGATCAGACTTCATCCTCGCGACCTGCGCGTGGAATCCGTCGTGTTTACTGTTCGGCAAAATGAAACAAGCCGCGGGAAGTTTTTTTGCGTTTTTATCTACAAAGAAAGCTCCAGTTTTTCATTATAATCCTAATTTTTTTGTGAATTCGAACAGTACGTATGTTATTAACTAGTTTAGCCAATCTTTTAGTGTGTTTTTACGTATTTACGTTCAGTATTGTCTTTCATATTGCTCAAAATTTTCAACTTGTTGTGTTGCGAACTGTGACAACTGTCAAACTGAAATGATACTGTCTTCTATAACTCTTGAACAGTAGTGAACTGTCGCCGAAACTTATGTGAGTTCTGTCAATCAATTCAATTCACAGGTATCGTTTTATCTGCTAAATCAAATAAAACAGTTATGAGTTGTTTTATATGAAAAGTTAAACTTGTAGTTCGACGTTTTGAAAAGTTTTCACACCGATTTTAACAACAAAAACAAATGTAAACTAACACTGGATTTAATACAATGCGTATAATAGTGTTTTTTTATTAGTATTTTCAAGATTAATATTTTATTTTCATGTCAAACAAGTCAGAAATATCTGTTTTCGTATGTATTGTAAGCCAAAAAGTTGAAATCACTATAAATCACACGCTCAGGCTTTCTTGCCATCCTACTTTTCCTACTTTTTCCTACTTTTCTTCAATTTTCCTACTTTTCCTATTTTTTTATTAAAAATTGCTTGATTTTCCTACTTTTTTCTACTTTTTCTCATAAAATCCTACTTTTTTAAGACAGCTTGGGGAATCAGTATGTTATAGCTCTCGTAATTAGATCTACAGGACTCGTAATTTTTATTCCCTAGTTGTGTCCCAGATGATAAGATCTCAGAAGAAGTACATTTTCCGAGTATAAAATTTCATAGCATCTCTAGAATCATAATCAGTAAATTAATGAAAACTCTGAAAGTGCCAATTCCGACGATCTAGAGATTCCAAATATTCAACTCCCCCCAGTTAATCAAGCATCATATACACATGGCCATAGCAACTGGGCCTGGGGGGCTGCAGCCCCCCAATAATTTGCTAATAATATTATTTTTTTCAAAATCATGCAGACCTTTATAATTTAATCCATGACAAACTTCAAAGAATGAAGATATTACCCATACTTTCCTGCAACTTATCCAATATATAGTTAATTAAATACGCCTTCGCCCATTTAGTACTACTAAATTGTAAATTTCAACATACTAAAACGCTGTTTTCTGACCATCAGAATTCTGTCAAATCTTCCCCAAAGTCCAGGAAATGGCATTTCAGAGACTCTAAATTTAAAAATTTCCTCGGGCCTTCGGCCCTCGCTTTCAGCCCCCTCCCAATCGAAAAGAGCTTCCTACGGCCCTGATATATGCTTCTACCGCAGTGTGGATTGGTGCATTGTGTAGCCAAATACATGCATTCGAATTGTGTTGCTGCAGAGCAAATGCCTTAGCTTTTATACCGATGCAATTTAAAAGTTTTGAGAAAAAAATCCTGCATAGATGAATGAGTACATAAAAATATTGAGCACCAAAAATTCACACAACTTCCCCATCAGATATCTAATGGTCTACCCCTTACCACATATATCCTAGGGGCCAATTTTGTATATTTTTGTGTTATTTGCATCTCCAAAACTCCTACTTTTGTCCTACTTTTCTACACATTTTCCTACTTTATTCCTACTTTTCCTAAAATTCTAGTCCTACTTTTGTCCTACTTTTCTACACAAGGATGCCAGAAAGCCTGCAACTTAAGAAAACGTTTTTTCGAAGCTAGAAATCATGATTTTTTTTCAGGGATACTTTGTTTTCTGCTCTCTAGACTCCCACTCGCGGCTCTAGTGCTCCACCCCTAGAATATAGACCTTACTGGGGTTTGGTGACACTTTGTGTTGCTTCAGTCACCTGCTCGCGGCTCACCCCCCTAAAATTTCTGGCACCACCCCAGTAAAAAATATGAAAATCCGTCTATGGTCCAACTGGCTATTCTTAGCTGTGTAATCATAATACATTAATATAGCCTAGTTGGCACAGCTATATTCTAGCATGCAGTAACATATATATATATATATATATAGCCAAGTTGACACATCATTTTTAACGTTATTTACATTTACTTTACAAATAGATGTGCTGTGGTTCATCAAACGATTTCTCTGGAACTAACCAAAACGTCGTATTGAAGAAAATTAACTCAAAAAGTCGCCAGTGAACCTGCAGTAGGCTGTACTGAAAGAACTAAACTGAAAACAGGCAGCAAACATTAACTTTGTGTTCAATTATAACAAAATACTAGTACCATGCAAATCTTCGCCGCTCGCTATTCGAGATCGACTTGTGGAAGTGTTTTAATGCTTTGCGAATTCCTATATTTGTAAGTAGTTTTCATTTCGTAAAACATTGCTGTCGCAATGCCAATGGTATATAAAGTAGTTTTATATGCAGTATACAATCTAATTTAGTATTTTAGGCTTTAATAATCCGACCTCTATACCTCGGAATACTGGCTGGAATATTAGTAATATTCGGGGATATTCTTAGCCTGCGGGCAGCCCCATACCACGTAAGGTATTCGCTCGGAATATTTCCGGACTACTCGTAGCATTCTGCGCAGAATACGTCGGAATAAACTGCACCATACATTCCATACACTGAGATATTCCGAAACACAATACTGTTGGAATACTGCATATGCTACAAAATTTATAAATTTTGTTGAATATTTTGCTGTTAATTAAATTAGTTTCTTTAACTTAATAATAAATGAAAGCTGGCTTGTTGTAGATTGGAATAAGCTGACGTTTAATGTAAATATAGGTCATATATCTGGCCAGAGATATCTGGCTAAATGCAAAATCGATTATTTTTTATTGCTCAATGCAAATAATATACATGGCGTTGGGGATAACACGAGTGACGAGCTAAACAACTAACGGGAATCTCTACTATATGATGTTAAAGTGCCTATATCACTTGTGGGATATTTACGGATTTGGAAAGAGCACAAAAAGTTAGTTTGTAAGTTCTTCAACCTTTTTTGATTTGGTTCAGTATTTTCCGAGATATTGACCCTCAAACATGACAATTTTCAAAAAAATCCGTCGTGCTTGGGGGCCTGGGACTCAGGAACGCGAGCGTAAACAAACACTATAGAATTGTATTATATTTTGACGCTGTAACTTACTAAAGTGAGAATTTTTGCAAGAAAAGTCGGTTTATTAAGCTCAAAATCGTTCTCTGGTACTGAAAAAAGTTCCTACGATTGCGCTGAATATAAAACTGAAGGTGAAACGTACAAAACCACTTCAAAATCAAATTTGAAAGTGCTCCTTCGTAGATGGCATCTAGCTTCGTCGAGCATGAAAATGTTG